GTAATTAGCTCATTCATTCCCCCATCATTCACTCATTCATTCGTTCGCTGGCCCGTTCATTTGGTCTTTCGCTGGTTCATCCATTCATTCATCCATCCACCCCACTTGGTTTGTTTCCTTTCCTTCGTTTCTTGGTTGTTTTTAATCACATATGGCTCCAACGTTACAACAGTCCCCCGTCTGCTTTAACCACTATAGAAGCACTCCAGACGGGAAGTTATGTCGGCCCGGAGGTAAAGTGAAAGGACGGGAATGCTCGGGGTCCCGGAAAAAAGTTGATCCATCGGGCGCAAGGGCTGCTTCGCCTCTCGGTGCCGCACCCGACCCCAAGTCCGGGTTGCCCACACGGTCGTCGGCCGCATCGGTCTCCGGTGATCATCTCGGCCTGGATTACTCTGGTGTTTTTGACAAGCTGACGGCCGTACCGGTGTACGACCATATCCCTAAGCCATGCCGGGAGAAGTTCGCACATGATCTGAACGCCTTGCTGACGGCTGTTTGTAATGACCCTGGTGACCCGGCTCACTGGGCTCCACTGTTTTGTCCCATACGTCTTACAGAAGACTTCCAGAGGGGGTCGCCGTGTCAACCAGGGCAATCTGGTCAACAAGCGTCTAAGCGAATATTCAACTAATGGTCTTGAAACCCTGGTACTGTGCTTTGATGGGTTCAATAATGCCAAATCACAAAAGCAAAACCCCGATCGGTGGATCAACGCTGTGTCATCTTGTATTGAACAAGGAAACCTGTCCTCGGCTGTCAGACTTGTCTGTTTGCCGGAGGGCCTGGCGGAGAGCTCGCCGGCCACCTTCGATAAATTATGTTCCATCCACCCAAAAATTTCGGTGGACAGGCGGGTCTTTCCCGCATTGACACCAACGGCTGGTTGCGTTTCTCCTGCCGTTAAATCGTTCAAAAACGGTTCTTCTGGAGGCCTGGATGGCCTACGACCCCAGCACCTTAAAGATGTTTTTTCAGGCCCCTTGCCAATTGACGACACACTGAACTCCATAGCCCAATTCATTAATTTGATCCTATCGGGAGCTTGCCCACTCTCCGTCCGCCGGTTCTTTTTTGGAGGCCGGCTAATAGCTTTAAATAAGAAAGACGGAGGGGTCAGACCGATTGCGGTCGGAAACGCTTAGAGAAGGTTGGCCGGCAAATGTGCCTTGGCCCTGGTCGTGGTCGAACTCAAGACCAAATTCTACCCGATTCAGTTGGGTGTCGGGATTAAGGGTGGCGCTGAGGCCGCTGTTCATGCGGTTTGAAGATTGGTCACCGACCTCCCCGATCAATGGGGGTTTCTGAAACTGGACTTTAAAAATGCCTTCAATGCCTTGAGAAGAGACTCGATGTTGGAGGCTGTCAAACATTTTTGTCCCAATATCTATAATTTTTGCCATTCTGCCTATGGCGGAGTCTCTTCCCTTGATTACCACTCTTGGGTTGTAGAATTGGCCGAGGGGGTACAGCAGGGTGATCCCCTTGGTCCTTTGCTGTTCGCACTAACTCTTCATCCACTCTTAGAGAAAGCTTCGTCCACCTTCGTTTGCGCTTATCTGGATGATATCAGCATTGCTTCGGACGGCCCAACTCTGGCCGATAGCTACGAATATTTGAAGCATAACTTCGCTGCAATTGGTTTAGAGTTAAACATTAAAAAATGCGAACTTCACTGCCAAAGTTTATTTCAGGTGCCACATGCGCTGGCTGGAATACCCAGAGTTGGTGCATCAGAACTGAGTTTTTTAGGCACACCCTTGGTCGAGGGCGATTATCAAATAATGTTTTTTTGACCAAAAGCTCTCTGAGCTTAAATTTGTCCTGGGTCGTGTTTCCTGTCTTTCGGCCCATGATGCTTTGACTATTATCCGCAATGCTCTCAGTTTGCCCAAATTGATGTACTTCCTGCGTACATCCAAACACATTGACTCTTCTAAATTGGGCGAATTTGACGAAGTCCTGCGCACCGCCCTGTCGTCGATTTGCAATGTTCAAGTGACCGACAGTGGTTGGTCCCAGGCTCAGCTGCCGGTGCGATTTGGTGAGCTGGGGTTGCTTAGCGTGGTTCAGCTGGCTCCCGTTGTTTATAATTCTTCTGCCGCTGCCACTCTCGACCTGCAGTCTTTCCTGCTCCACCGGTTTTTTCGTTGCCGCGATATTCTTCCCCCAGTGTCCGCCCCGGGAGACCGTACGCACGTCCAAATTTTGAACGAAGAATATAAAAAAATCTTTCAAAATTTGTTGTCTTCATGCGGCGACGACTTTTCTACCGCTCGTTTGTTGGCCATGTCCAGCGTTGTCAGCTGTGGGTGGTTGAGATCGTGGCCCAACACCTCTGTGGGCACCAGGCTTGACGACGAGTCTGTGATATTTGCCATTGGCTTCAGACTTGGCCTGGTCATTCAGAATAAATACATGTGCCGATGTGGCGCAGGGGCGGACGAGTTTGGGCACCACGGTTTGGTTTGTCGCCTGGTTGGTGGCCGTCAACTACGTCACTCAGCATTAAACGAATACATTTGTCGGCTCTTCTGCAAGGCTTCAATCCCGGTTCTCAAGGAACCATCCGGCATTTCTGCGCATGATGGTAGGCGCCCGGACGGATGCACACTAATACCTTGGAGAGCCGGCAGATGTTTGGCGTGGGATGTTACGGTCCCTGGCACCCTCGCCGAGCGATACGTAAACCTGACAAGTAAAGAATGCGGTTTGGCCGCGGCCAAGGCAGCGGACGAGAAAATGAAAAAATATGGGAACGCCCTCCCCTCGATGGAATTCTTGCCAATATGTATCGAGGTTCTCGGCCCGATGGACCCCAACACCCTTAAATTTCTTAAGGCAATATGTAAAATGACCAGCGTCAGATCAGGCGACAGCAGGGAACTGTTTTTCGCAACTAACCACATTTCGTGCTTGTTGCAGCGGTTCCTGCATGTCTGTGTGCTTGAAAATATCCAACTGAATGCCGACATGTGAAATTAACGACAAATCAAAGTGTTAATCCATTTGTTACTTGATGTTTGACGGTTCAGTGTCACTCATCATGTTTTGGTTTTAACATACATACATACATACATACATACAAACACACATATATACATGAATAATAAATCATGCACACACAGATGCATATGCAAGCGTACATGGAAGGCATAAATAGTGCCGGCTGCGTGCGTGCGCCATTCATTTCCACATCAAATTGCCTTCATCACTTTTTCTTTCATTTACGTAAAGGGCAGTTTAATTTAGAAATATTTGCCGACAGGTGCCATATTGTGCTGCTGAAGACGTTAGGAAATTACGGCGTCTGCTCAGCCGTACAAGTGCATATATCCATTCATATATTAATATGTGCCGGTAGAAAAACTTACATACATAAATACATATAAATAGACAAACTTAGATACATTTATACATGCATGCACAATAACATACAAACATATATGCAATATACAAACATGCATGCATTACATACAAACATGCTTGCATTTCATAAAAACATGCATGCATTTCATAAAAACATGCATGCATTACATACAAACATGCATGCATTTCATAAAAACATGCATGCATTACATACAAACATGCATGCATTACATACAAACATGCACATACAAACATGCATGTACTTGTACAGAGAAAGAGAAAAATATCAAAATTAAGATTATAGAAAACAGAAACTAAGAACTTATCACATCATCCACTCCCTACTACCACCAATCCACCACCCACACCTTCGTCAACGCAGCCATAACTACCAAACCACCACTCAATCAACCTGTTAAGATGAAAGCTTCATCCAAAGACTTTTAAAATATATTAACAGTCAATAATTATCTATCATTTGTTTATATTTTATCTTTTATAGTGTTATTTACGTACTTACTAACTAACTAATTTTCTTTCTTTATTTATTTTAAAAATTCATGATTTCTAAGGATTATATATATCACGGTACATAATTATTGTCAGACGTTCACTTTTGTTGCTCAGGCTTTAAACGTATCGCTGATCAATGATAAATGATTTCACAATGTCGAAAGTTCGGCCAGTGTCGTGCGCGTTTCAAAAATAAAGGAGGAGAGTAAAATATTTTCTCAACCGCATCAGATGTTCATTCGAACAACAATCTTTTAAGCGGCCCTCGCCTGGTTAGAACTACAATACATATTTGTATAGTACATAAAAACTGAGTTCATTTCCTATGAGTCTGACGAAATGAATTACGTCGAAAAATCGAATTAACATTCTTTTTAGATTTTAAATGTAACTCAATAAATCGATGCGGTTCTTAAAGACATGTGAGTGTGTGTGTGTGTGTGTGTGTGTGTGTGTGGTGTGTGTGTGTATTCTATTTTGCACTGTGTATTTCTATTTGTGAATGTAAAATTTTGCCCAAAACTCGCACTCGACAAAATAATTTCATACTCATGCATAATGCACAGGCAATTAGATAATGGCCTACAAATTGCTGATGATTTTTTAATATAGTGAAAAAATTGATCATCATTATCCACATCATCATCATGATGCTCCACTCTTTCTTGCCATTTCTTTTGTCAAACGTTTTGGTACTTAGTAGTTTTTTCGATATTTGAAAGAAAATAAGTTTGCAAAAAAAAATTTGAGGGCTTATGAATGATGATGACGACGATGATGATGATGACGACGACGACGATGATGATGATGATGACAGATAGTCAGCTGACACTTTCATTGGCAGACGGTGATAACTTCTTGTTTGTTGCAACCACAGATATTATGTTCGACTGTAGAAACGTTTCTGTTATTTGTTGTCTGTTGAGGCACCAACATCCTATCCAATCTCTCTTATTAACCATTATTATTCATATTAACTCTATCAGCACTTTTTATGGTTTAAAAAATTGTTATCATCGTGGCTCAAAATTCCAATTAGATTTATCTAAATTCACCAACCATAACAACAACAATAACAACAATAGTAATAATAATAATACTACCAACAATCCATTTAGGATGCAACATCAATGCAGCAGCGGTGTTCCATGATCAAACAATCACTTGCCACTTCTTCCTGGATCAGGTTTCATCTTTTCTTTATTTCAGTTTCGTGCAATATCATTGAATACTTTCAAGAAAATGAACATTTTTGTTAACAATTCGTTACAAAAATACTTTTTAAATCAAATTAATAGATTCTACTGTTGTTTTATGGCATTTGTTCTAATTCTTAAGAATATTCGTAACAATTTTAGTGAAACAAGTCGCATTGTCAACTTTTGTTTGACGGCAAACATCAAAATTTGGCTCATCAATCACATTTTCTTCTTTTTACTTTACTTAATTTAATTTTCATCATTTCATGTTATGCCCTTTTTTGTGCATAATTACTTTTTTACGTCGTTTTCTTGAAGTTTTTTAGTTTATAAACTTTCATCGCTTGCTATAAATATTGACCGTTTTACAAAATTATAATTACCATGATAACTCAACTAGATGCGTAAATAGAACCCTACACCGTGGAAACGTTGTCTGCGTTAGGTTCTTCATGGAATAAAAATAATGCCTTTTATAATTCCTTTAAAAAAATAAAAATAATTCCTTCTATCAAACAAACCATTCACTGCAGACTTGACACGTGGGCAGCTGATCAGCAACATCACGTGAACACGTTGACCCTGTTACGTCATCATTTTGACGTCATTGAAACGACATTGAACTTCAACCAACTTGACCCTTATACTCCGACGAAAAGAAAATGCAATGGAGTTTTTAAATACACAAGCGCTGGTTGGTTGTTTGAATGTTTCATGTTACATATTAAAGCTAATACTTTGATAAAGTACATATTGCTTGCTTGTTTGCTTTTAATAAAAAAGCGTAGAAGAAAACTAATTATTAGCAAAGTTAAATTCATAGAAAGCTGCAACATTGAGTTGTAGCAAACGAACTGAATTTAGAAAAAGTGTACAAAATCAATCAGACGATCCATTGGAGACGACAGCCGGCCAGCAGTTCCATCAGAGAACCACGCACGGAGGTCCTTCGCAAGCCCACCACCCCTACCACCAACCCCCTCCACAATCGAAAGGATGTGCGGAAGGAAGTGTGGAGTTGATGCTGCTGTGTGGTGCCGATGTTCTGCACGACTTTAACGAACCCAACTTGTGGAATGAAAAGGAGGTTAGGTGTTTTGTATGCATGCACGAAGAATGAAATAAAAAGTCTTTGTGTGCCATACGTACTGGAACAAGTGTATAAAAATTCATTGCAATGTATGATTATGCAATAAATTGTATAATATAGAACGATTAAAAATTTGTGAAAGTGCATTCATTATGTGGAGTGAAGTGCGTAGAGGTCTTCATGTTAAAATAAATGAATTAGTTAAAATCTTTAAAATTAAAAAGCTTGTGTGTGTATGTTTTAGATTCCAAATATTGATATGTCTCGAGATTGCATGTTGTTTAATGAAGGGAAGACGTGAGGGAGTACAAGTGGGTACATTGGGGAGTACATGGAGGGGTACAATGGGGAGTACATGAAAAAGTACATGGAGGGGTACATGGGGGAGTACAAGGAGTGTACATATGAGTGTATGTTGAAAAATGGAGGGTTACATGGCTGAAGCAGTTGATGAGCATGGACACTCATCTATTTAAATGCAGACTGTGCATCTACATTTTTTTGTGAGTTTTGTATTAATAAACCAACATAGCAACATTATCACTGATCAGAAGAATATCATTGAAAGACTGAAGCAAAGAGAATGAACAGAAAAAAGATATTATAAACAGAAAAAAAGCACTTTGTACACACAGAGAAATGTAAAAACTTGAAATATTCCTGTATAAGCGGTGATGACGAGTAAAATTGAAATATGGCATATATACGTTTCACTATGAACACCAACGATTTTCTAATTAATGTTAATAAATTGGATAATAATTATAAAATTACTGTTAGAAATATTAAAAAGCTCAATTTTAAACTTTCAAAAGGCTAAAAATTCGGTAGATTTTATCAAATATTATATATATATATATATATATATATATATATATATATATATATATGAGTGAGTGAGTGTGGGCGTGTAGGCGTGTGTGTGTGTGTGTGTATGTGTGTGTGTGTGTGTGTGTGTGTGTGTGTGTGTGTGTGTGTGTGTGTGTGTGTGTGTGTACAATGATCGATTAAACATGTGTGCAATTAATTGTGCATATTGGAACCAACGCATGAAAGATATCTTTCTCTGTTTCTAACGAAAACACTGATGCATTTCATGCTAATGTGTGCCCAAGTGAAACCGACCTTCAATTTTATTTCGGCAAACTCTGCGCCTACAAAGTCGCTATTACCATCAAAATTATTCAAACATTATTTGTGACAGATGCAATATACCCTGTTAACATAATCAATCGTAAAAATAGCCCAAACCACATTTCAATTTAAACTATGATGTATTCAAATAACGTGACGGAAAGGAAATGATCTCTCCCGAAGACCAACTTTTTGGCTGCCCTGTTTTTTCGTATAATTAAGCAAATTTTACTTTTTTATCTGAATAGGCAAATTAATTTTTTTCAGAAGAATTTGAAGATTTGATCTTGAAGAGCAGCTAGTGCGCTATAATTAACAAAAAGCTTATGATAATGAGTTATGGTTATTGCGGTTTGAAAGAAAGAATTATGTTAAAACAAGCTAAGTTCATCTTTTCTTGTAATTTTCATTCAATTGTCTTTCGTTTCATAATTTTAATTAGAAACAAATTTATTTGCCAGAGTTTGAACTAAAATACACATCGATACGTTGCTTAATAAAAGTGGAAATATCCTAATTGCTGCAAGTGAAAATAACAAAGTGGTCTTAAAACTGTTATAAATATTTATCCAAGAACGTATTAATAAAAATTTTGTACAATTAAAGAATCGAACTAAGTTACCTTTGAAATAATTTACAAAAAACTGTGCAAAAGCTGATAATAACATGCCTTAATGCATGCCGTTTCAATGCAATCCTACATTCCAAGCCCCGTCTTGGAAAATATTTTCATCGGGGTTGAAAATAATTGAATTTCTTTGAAATTCATCATGTGAAATTGTTGGTTGCCAGACATTTTTTTTATTATTGATGAACATTTCAAAATAATTTATATATTATCGATAAATCCATAAAACTTGTATGGAAAAAAAAAATTTTTCATATTCATTCCGGCTACTGGTTAGGCCGCGAGATATCCTACTATCACTTTAAAGAACTAATCTCTTTAAACAACTATTTTATTATAAATCAATTACATTAATATTTATTAATTAAAGTTGTTGAATTAAATATATATTTTATTGTAAAACAAGCTGAATTATTCAAATTTGCGATGCAAACAATTTCATGTATACAGCCATGTTATTTCGATTTGAAAAATTTTATAAAACAAATGTGTTTCGCGTTCCATAAAAACTTTGAAGAACATTCAACGAAATAAAATTATAGAGCCTAACAAAACTGAATACATACGGTACAGCGTCCACTCACGCCACGTCACATAAACATCATCAACAGTGGCCTTAACACAAATTGCTTTTTAATGCACTTTATTAAATAAACATAGCTCGGCAATTTATATTGCGACAAACCACCAAACCATTTGCGATTTTCCAACAGCCAACAAACACAATGACACGTCAGCACCACGACACAAATCAACAACACACAACAAAACAACAGCACAGCAACACACAACAGCACAACAACTACAACAACAAAACAACACCACAATAAAACAACACCACAACAACTCGACTGCACATTTTAGAATGCACTTCCCAATTAGCTTGCTCTCTTCTTCGCGGCAACATAAAACATTTTAAATTGATAATTTTTTGAGCGTGGTTATGCGAATTTAAATATTAATAACCATTAGTGGTGAGTGGAATATGTGTGTTATGTGTGTATCTATGAATGCATGTACGTATGCATTCGTGTTTGTTTGTAGGGCTGCGTATGAACCGCCCTGCACAGCACGTATGTATGTATGTATGTGTGTGTGTGTGTGTGTGTGTGTGTGTGTGTGTGTATGTATGTATGTATGTATGTATGCATGCATGCATGTATGTATGTATGTATGTATGTATGTATGTATGTATGTATGTATGTATGTATGTATGTATGTATGTATGTATGTATGTTAAAACCAAAACATGATGAGTGACACTGAACCGTCAAACATCAAGTAACAAATGGATTAACACTTTGATTTGTCGTTAATTGCACATGTCGGCATTCAGTTGGATATTTTCAAGCACACAGACATGCAGGAACCGCTGCAACAAGCACGAAATGTGGTTAGTTGCGAAAAACAGTTCCCTGCTGTCGCCTGATCTGACGCTGATCATTTTGCATATTTCCTTAAGAAATTTAAGGGTGTTGGGATCCATTGGGCCAAGAACCTCGATGCATATTGGCAAGAATTCCATCGAGGGAAGGGCGTTCCCATATTTTTTCATTTTCTCGTCCGCTGCCCTGGCCGCGGCCAAACCGCATTCTTTACTTGTCAGGTTTACGTATCGTTCGGCGAGGGTGCCAGGGACCGTAACATCCCACGCCAAACATCTGCCGGCTCTCCAAGGTATTAACGTGCATCCGTCCGGGCGTATGTATGTATGTATGTATGTATGTATGTATTATTATTATTATTATTATTATTATCAACAATTTATTAAGCGCATTATAAAATTGAAATTTCTCGAAAGCGCTCTCTATTATAAATGAAATCAGTGAAGGTCAATAAAGTACAAATCGATAAAGTATTTCTATGTCAAAATAAAAGTTCCTTTTAAAATCATCAAGCCTTAGTCCAGGCATTCTGAGCGATTGCGGAAGACTGTTCCAGGCAATTGGTCCTGACACGGCAATATTTCTAGTTGCAGTTTGTAGTTGAGTTGTTGTCACTGCCAGTAGGTTGGCATAGTCTGATCTCAATTTTACACCTGTTGAAGAAGCTGGTTTTTTTTTAATTTTATTTGCTAGATATACTGATAACAACCCGTTCAAAGCCTTATACATAGTCACACAAATCTTATAGTTGATTCTTTTTTTCACTGTTAGCCAATGTAGGTCTCTTAAAATGGGTGTCACATGGTCATACTTTCTACGTCCAACAGTTATTTTTGCAGCTCTATTCTGTATCGATTGAAGAAAAGCAATAGATCTCTCTGGTAATCCATTGAACAAGCTATTACAGTAGTCTAACCGTGAATAAACAAACGCATGAATTAGTGTTTGCATGGTTGTTTGATGTAAATATTTTCGAACGCGGTATAACTGGCAAAGCTGATAAGAACATGATTTGGATATGGTCTTTATATGATCTTTAAAAGATAATCTCGAGTCAAAAATACACCCTAGGTTTGTTGCATTTTCACAGAATTGTATTTCATTGTTATCAATTTTGACTGAATTAATATTAATTTTAGAAAGCCTGTTGCCATGTACCGACAGGTAAAAATTGAGTTTTATCTTGATTCAATTTGAGACAATTTCTTGACATCC